AAATTCAAACTGTTCTGGTAGGAAGACATTTATAAAACTGTTGAGTAAATATTAGAAGATGATATGGTTTTCTTTTTACAATAAGTATGAAATTCAAACTACCTGAAATCTAAAATAATGTGGGTTTGTGTGAAGTTCTCATGCTCCCTGGTGTGAGCTTCACATTTTCTTTTTGTTGGCAAAGCTGATTAACATGATGCATGTTTTGCAGGCAGATACATAACCCAGACAACTACCTGGCCATGATGTGAGCCATGGCTGGGAAAGGACTCTTTCACTTTTCAAAGACAGGTATAACAGCCACATAGTCAAATGCATGCATACCTGCTTCCTATAAACTTGTGGTGTGAAATGAGGATGCAGGGGTTTTACACAGCTACAGATCCAGCTGGTTACAGATGTAATCAGAGCTTAGAGCTTTCCATATTTTATCATCCAGGTATAATTTTACTTGTTCACATATGTAAAAGGCTGCTAACCCCTGTGAAGAAGTTAGTAAACTATTTAAAATACATTAAAAATACACTTGGAATATAAAAAGTGACCAGATGAAGTTTTCCTTCCACTGTTTGAAATCAGTTGAGAACCAGGCATGCGTTGGTCTATCAGCACTGCACAAGCTCATGTTTGGAAAATTATTTGGCCCTCTCTATCAGAGGGTCAGTAGGGTCTGCAGTACCACTGTCTCTTTCCTGCAGCTAAGACCAGTGCTTGGAACATGGTTTTTCTAAAAACAAATCAAGTCTCTCCCCCATTTACCTGGAAGAAGCTAGTTTTGGATGAGTACACTTTACAGTGACACAACTTGTCTGTGATGCTTCAGGGCTTGGGCGCAGTACCCAGGCAGTGGGACCCTCATGGCCAGCCCTGTCACACGCCGGGGAGATGTCATGAGGCTGGTGTGATGGTCTGGCATTGCTTCCTTGGTCTGAATAACATCTGCTCTCACCTGAATTCACATTTGACCATGACACGCTGTGGGCACCAAAGTCAGTGTTCAGTGAGTCATTGCCACCATTTTTTCTGCAGAGAGATATTTAGGTGCAAACCAGGCTTGATTCCGCAAACTTATGATGCTTAACAGCAGGGACAGGTGAAGGTATTGTGGTGTACATATCTTTTACCTTTATACTGAGTAAATTGAAAGACCACTGTGTGGTGAACAAGTTCAGCAGTAAATATGACCTCAAGTGATGTAGCACTGATGTTTGTTTCCTGTGGACCTGTAACTTACCCCTGTGCAAGGTTAATACATTCTGCTTTGGACAGGTGCTGAGCTGATCCCACTGACAACCACCTAGAAGAGCTTGAATAATTTTTTAGGAATTTATCTTTTTACTCTTCATGGCAGGAACTGGGAAAAGTCAGTTAAGAAAATTACTTCAGAATATTCTGGTGTCTTCTAAGACACTTTTTCATCACACTGGCAATTCCTTCTGCCGGGGAGAAGGAATGGGTGCCATTTCTAGGGGTTATACCGTGCTCCATGTACTGCAGCTGAACTGCCAGCTGAGTCCCCAGGACTGGCCAGTAACTGGCTGAGTGCATATCAGGTTCCATTCCACTCCACTCCCCTTTGTGAACACAAAGGCTGGGAGGTAGCCAAGGCAAGAAAGTGAACAACAAAACACAGCTGACATGAATGGCATAATAAACAAAAGCAGATGTGCCTCTCCACATAGTCAGTGTGAGGGAGGTGGGAGCAAAGCGTGTTTCAACAACAACAAAAGAAAACTGGTACCTGAACACAGGAGGCTTTGCAGACAAAGAAAGATACTGTCAGCGATGGTTAGTGAAGTCACATTTGCAGATCACAAGATACCAGCTGTGAGGAAATGGCTGTTGTGAGTACGAAACCCACACAACAGCCCAAATAAATGACAAAAGCATGATGTCCAAGTTCAAGGCTTCCAATGAAATATCGTTGGCATTTGGGCTGGCAAACCCAAAGTGCTTCACAAATCTATTAGATGGATCCAAGTTCACTACTGCTGTGCCACATACTGTGTACTTACAGATGAGGAAGTTTTTTGGACCCAGACTGGAGGGAAACAATGTAAGAAATTAAACATAATTTAAATTTGAATGAGTGTCAAGTGCAGATGATGGCACTCTTGAAATTCAAGATGCTTCAATGTTTTAGGTATGCCTGGATTATGGATTGCTATAAATCTGCTGTTGCTATAATGTTAAGACCACTGTGAAAGTACTGGCCTCTGTATTCATATACAGTTTTCTCTGCATGTTTTAGTGGTAACAAGTGGAATGATAATGGATATTTTTGATCACACCTAAGACAAAGATTGCACTGAGCTAAGAGTTTTACCTGCCAGTTTCACATACCACCCTCAACCACTAAGAAACCCAAACCTTTCCTTTCTAAAGATAGACCTTGGGTGAGAAAACTTGATGGGTAAGGTGACTTTCCAAGGTTATTTCAGTGTCAGAGCTGAAGTTCCTAACTGTAGTTATATCTCATATCTAAATATCCTTTACATTAAGTCCCTCAGTGCTGCTGGCAGCAGAGTGCATTAGATAAATCAGAGTATTCAGAAGAAAGAGAATTACTTTAACAAGTTAAAAGGTTTTGCAATACCTGTACTTAATGACAAAAAGAATTAATAAAATATTGGGGTTTAGATAGCATGTTCATATGTCAGAATTAACTGAGGAAAATGATATATTCACATTTTATATTGAGCTTTTCGGGTTTTAGGAGTAAACTTTTCCCTTCCACCGGGAAGCTGGTGAAGGCTGTGAGGGCTGTCCGTTGACTGTAAGTGTTTTGGTGTAAACAAAAGGTCTTCGTTCTTCATTTGCACATCATGGTCAGATACTTGGTCACAAAAGGGATGCCTAAGCACTACATACAGGTGAAAGAATAAATGTTCTCCTTTGTGGGTTCCTAAAAAGATTTTTTTCTTGGCTCATATGCAGGATTATGCACCCATATTTTGGTATTAACCATGTGTGAAACTGCAAACTTGTGTTTACTGATGTTATAGCGGATCATCAGAGATGCAAAGAAGTATCCATAAGATAATCATTATAATATTAATAGCAAAAGTGTTAATTCACATCTTGAGGAGCTCTATATCATGGTCATTATTCATGACAGATGTTTCCAGTTGAGTTGTAACTAAAACAAGAGAATTTTTTTTCAGTGCTACCTATCCAGAATTAAGTAGTTTTTTATTATTGTAACGTGGAGATAAGATGCAAATGAAGAGTTATAAACAAAAAACACCTGTTTATATGCATTCAGAATTCACTGTGCATTTTTATTTAGGTTCTTTAAGGAGCAGGAAAAATGGTTTTTCAAATTATTTTCCAGTATTATTCTGGAAAGCTCACAGTTTTTTCATAAAACTTTTTCGCTTTTTTTCTTTGTTTGTTTATTCCTTACATTCCTTTGATGCCAAATGGCATTTTTCTTTACTAATAGCACTGTAGTCCTAAAGACCAGGAACAGCAGTAAGCTTATTAAAAATTAAAAAGGGCCTCTGAGGTAAAATATGCAATATATGCTTGACTGTGCTATCAATGATTTTGGAGGGGTTTTTTTATTTATTTATCCATGTGCTAATATATTTTCATAGCACCTGCAATATTCAAACCAGACGACATGGAGTATATGTACCCCCCAGGCCAGGGGGTACATATTTCATAAGAAAACACTATAACTGCATGAAGAAATGAAAGAAAAACATCGAGAAAAAAAAGAAAAATTATGATTTAAGCTTGCTTTTTTAGGGGTAGTTGCTGTTGTTGCAACTAAATTACCAACACAGTTGATCATCAAGAGAATTAAGATATTGTGTAGTTGCTTAAGTTGAACTCAACAGTCTGAAACACTTAACACAGTCAAAGAACTAAAATATAATTAAAATAAGATGTGACATCATACACATTCATATGATTTAAGGAAAAAATAAGTTTACATCTACAGTGTTGAGATTTATGATGCAAATGTTTAAGCTTCTGTTTTACCCCTGGAAAGAAAGAAGCCCCATGCATTCTAATAAGAACACTGCAGTCGGAACAGCAGTCTATATACTCAGAGAATTTATTCATAATAGATAATGCTAGGAACTTAATTCCAAAACTTACTTTAAGAAGAATCAGCTCACTAATTGGTAAAATATTATATATATTACAGTGCAGGAACTTATTATTTATGAGCATAAATAACAGAGGAAAGATTGCACCTGTGACAAAAATTCTGTTTAGCTAGTAAAAGAGCAAATTGCTGTTGAACCACTGATGCAAAAGCAACCAGGGAAGAAAAAATGATTTGTTTAACATAATTCTAACTTACCTGTGAGCTAAACTGCAGTATGTTTTTGTAATGTAGTCCAAATAAATGGTTTGTGTTGGTGTTCAACAGGTGACAACTAGATAAAAAACCTATCTTGAAGTTTACAATACAGCAAGAAGATGACAAGGCATTTGCATGAGTAAAGGTGAAATATACCAAGATTTATTAAAATTTTAGATATAATGGATGCATATGTCCTATTCTTTATGCTCCTAGATAAAAAAATTTATCTGATAATGGCTATGTTTACTGTTTCTTTTAGTGCAGGCATAAATCTTTACAACTTCTCATTAATATATTAATATATTCAAACTTTTTCCCTTTCTACTTAAAATGTAGGTAATGTTTCCCAGAGGCTGTAATGTAATATTTAATTAAGTTATTTACTTTGATTCAGAAATTGCAAGCTATCTAAATCACAACCATCTGGTCAATACTTAAACAATAAAAAATTAAATTTAATAGTAATTTTATACATATATAAGTATAAAATATATACTTATATACTAAGAATTAATTTCATAATTCCTTGATGATGATGACAATCGCCCCCTGCCATGGACAGGAACACCTTTCACTGGACCAGGTTGCTCACAACCCCATCCAACCTGGCCTTGAACACTTCCAGGGATGGGGCATCCACAACTTCTCTGGGAAAACTGTTCCAGAGCCTCACCACCCTCACAGTAAAGAATTTCTTCCCAATATCTGACCTAAACCTACTCCCTTTCAGTTTGGAGTCATTACTTTGTCCTATTTGTACATGCCTCTAAAGGAAGCCACTCTCCAGCTCTCTTACAAACCCTTTTTAGGCACTGGAAGATGGATTAATGCAATGAGGGCTCCCTGGTTATATCTGACCATTGTCCATAAGGCTGATTGATTTCGTTATCATGGAAAGAGGAAACAAAGGAAAGTGGATCAGTGTACAGTACCATGTATTCATTCCAATTGTCTGCATTTTGCTCCATACAATTGTCTTCTCCTTTGAGCGACTTCTCATCTGCTCTTTAGATCTGATGAATAATTTTACTCTGAAAAAAAAATTAAATATGGTGAATTAGACTTTTTACAGATAAGATAATAAAATAGCTTCAATTCTATCCTCAAGTGACATCATGAAAATTAAAAAACACAGAAACTAGGTCTGCTAAATCAAGATAATACAAGTTGGGACCAAAATTCAAGTAGTTTGATTTTAATGTATGTTTTTGTTATTACACTGACACACACTAAGACTGTCTGAATGCCTTAACTGTGCATTTCTGTACCTTCCATTCCGTTTAGATTTAACTTTGACTGCAGAATTTGTGCAATTTGTTTAGGGGACAACTGTAACATAGCATTTTTTCTTATCTTAAGTTGTATTTTTAAATGATGACTTCAATTTTATTCCGTTATTTTTACTGTATGTAAAATAGGTCCTTGTGTGTGTGCATTTGTCTCTGGAGGTCTACAGAGTGAAGAATTTATTTTCAAACATTTTGTGAATAATTGTGTTAGTCTACCCAGTGCTTGATTCAGAATTCTTAATGTATTTGAAATATTTAAGCATGTTAAAAATAAATCTAAATATCCCATTATAAACCATTTCAAGATCACAGTTTTGTAACTGAGAACAGAATAATATGATAATCTGGGGAAAAAAAATGCTGAGACAAAATGTGTGTAACATACTAACTTGAGTATACAATGAGAATTTCCAGAAGCTGTTAGGCACACTGTGCTCTTCATGAGAGGCAATACAGGATAAACCTGTGGCCTTTTCATTTATATGTTCCTTTCCCCTTACACAAAACTTTCTGATCTTTGGAGAATAATTAAACATAGTATATCAGAGTATGGGGAACTTTCCTTTTTCCTCCAAGAAGGAAGAAAAATTAAAGTTACTAAATCGAGTTACAGTCATAGAAACAATTCCTTTCCCAGAAAAAAGGATGAAAGAAATAAACAGGTCAGAATCCCAGCTGATGCCATTTTGAGTGATTCCACTGAAATGGTTGATAGACACATCCATTTTAAGGTGAAAAAAACCTATTACACCATCCTAGTCTGGCTTCCTGCATAATACAGACCAGAAATTTCCATATAGTAACTCTCATTGAGCTGATAGAGCTCAAGTGAATCTCTTGATTCACTTGATTTGGCTCTCTACTTTTTCAAAGATTAGTAGATTCTCTCCCTAGGAGGCAGAACATCATGAGACAGCTGCAGTACCTGATTCAGTATTTGATTTGCAAAAAACATTTACAATTTTGGTCTGTGATGACTGTGAAGATGTCAATAGCTCCTGCTGACCTCTCAAGAATTGGTTTACTGCCAAAGTGAGAAGGACAGTGTTTCAAAGAAAATGAAAACCTTTTTGGAATCCCGAGCTGACAGTGACAAATGTCTGGATGACAAGGTCAAATGGCAGGTGTCTTTGTTACTGAATATAACGAAAGGTCACAAATGGGATGAGTTTCTGATTTTTAAGAGAATTTCAACAGGAACTTTGTAATAAGATGTCAGAAAAAAAAGGAATAAAGAAGAAGCCTAGTCATGTATAGAAATAGAGAGTTCACTGCATAAATTACATGAGCACTAGACATAGAAACAAAAGCAGAATGAAGAGATACAGAATTTATTTCTTGAAAGACCAGATGAGCCTCAATGGAAGGATTTGTTTTTTCAGTGTTTGGATTTTCTAAGCTTGAGATCAATCTCTTTTTTTTTTTCCTCTTCTCTGCACACTAGAATTCACAATAAGGAGAAAGTGCCAATGGCTTCAGATAAATGTTTGCTTGGTGTTTAAATAGACATAATAAATGTGGTTGGCTTAAAAATGGATTATTTGTGGTGGTAGAAGTCAAAAGTCATCGATTTACTTCATTGAGGTCATAGTCAGAGGAAGGAGAAGTTAGTTTTCAAATGAGAAACATGCTTATTCAAATTGTCTTAGTCCTGTTACACTGGTGAAGTTATTTTGCAATATTTATAGCAATTTTAAGAAAAGGAAACTTTTTGAATTATAATCTGGAAATAATGCTACAATGGCCTTGAAGGGCAGTTTGGAGAGAAGAAGCCAATGGCAAGAATGGATGACCTAGATTTTAGTAGGAGTTGGGCACTTCTGGATAGGCTATTCAAGGCCAAAGCCAATGAGCCAGATGCTGCAAGCAGACTTGCCAAATGTCCTGACAAAATAAGAGAAAATTCTGATTTTATTTTTTTTTTTGCAAAATCCCCCAGCATCCCAGTAAAAGAGTACAGGTTTCCATTTTTGCTGTAAGTCAAACACAACACACCTAAACATTTTAACACAGCACACTGAAACCAACCCATTGGATACTGAGGGATCCACGGGAACCTGTCCAACTGCTGCCTGCTCCAGCTGGCTGTGTCACAGGGAAACTGTGACACTGTGTCACTGTGGTCCCCATTGTATTTGAAATTGAATCCAGTTTTCCCAGTGCCTAGAAAAATGCCCTGACCATGAAGCTATTGTACTGGGGCAATGATATTGCTACCTGTCAGAGATAGCTCTCTACCAGACACTTCTGCCTAATGCAAGTTTCCCTCAGAAATGATGAATTCTGCATTGTGTTCACAGAGTGAATGCAGAGAGATTTCTATTCTGTCCGATTTATTTTGTGTTTGAAGTTATTTTCCTATTCCTATGAATAATTCTTGGCTATGAGCTTTTTCATAAACAACTTATTGCAAGGCCTGAAATAGCTGTGGGACAGATTCTCCACTTGTTGAAGTCAGTTTTGGTGAACTATACTGATTTAGGTTAGCTCAAAATTTATCCTGATGCGTTTTGATAGGCCTTGACAAGTCAGATACCTAATTCTAATGCCTCATTGAATAAGTAGACCCCTTAGAATGAGACTTTGGATGTAATGTATTATCTGAATGTTCATTTGCCTGCAATGTCCAGCTATATCTATTTAGGCATGACAGTAAGTAAGCCTAAAAGGGATGCACAGATACAGATGTGATTTAATTTAAAGTACTGGTGTATCTAATCACTGAATTTTCTGCTTTCATGGCTAATCAGACCATATTAACAAGAGTTGGGGAAACAGATAAAATTCCTTTGTGCAGGATTATTTAAAATATGGGGCAGAGGAAGGAACCTTTAGCTAATTAGATTTTTCTTATTATCCAGTATTTCAGTAATGCTGAGAAATAAGTCATTTCTGTAATGGAATCATTTCTGTAGTGAGCAAAGAGCTCACTAGCCATCATCCTGGGCAGGAAGAAGATTTGAGAAACAGAAGTAAGTATCCTTGGGGCAGCCACAGTCCGCTGTCACATGCCACAGTTTGCATGCAGTGGGGATGTGCTGCTGTGTGCCCACAGTTAATTACGTTCATCCTGCAAAGGACCACTAAGTCACTGTCATTACATGGCTGCTTTATATGCTCTGCTTATAGCTGTGTCTCTAGTTGTAATGCTGCTTGCAAGAGAGTGACAGAAAAAGCTGGACTATGGTGGATAGGTCTCCCTCACTTGCACCCATGCCAAGGATGCACTAATGGAAAAGGTGTTACCTGTTCCTTTTTTCTTAAGGTCTGAGTCCTGTGGCTGCTCTTCCTTGGTGCCCTTGTACCAGCACTGTTGTGTAATTGCTCCTGGGTGCTGGCCCTGATTTTTTCATTTCCTGGTGGGCATGACTATATCTATACTAATTTTTTCCTGTTTGGGGGTTTATTTTAGCAATAGTGTGATTGGGACAGTTAAACATGTAAAAAAAATCTCCTTTGCTCATAACTGCCTCTTGAACGGAACTGGAAGACACGTAAAAAGCGCATCCTTAATCTATTGTTTTGTGAAAGGCAATCTGTCAGGTCTTTAACTGGACATTTAATGGCAGGAGGCAGAGGGATGACATTTAATACTGTCATCCTACAGACCTAAGGTGTGTGAGAATTTTATTAGGATTTTCTTTAATGACTTCAAGAGTGCTTATTCTTTCCTTGTCAGCCCATCAGAGCTGAGGGCCTGCCTATGATATTCTAGCACTTCTGCATTAAAGTTTTGGGCTGCTAGTCTCAGCTTTTCTAAGAAAGTATGGGACAGAAAGCAAATAATCCTGTTTTTTCATTCAGTATTATCTTTTTTCTTCATTAACATGTAGGGGTTACAATTGTGTATTTGAGCTTCCACTGCATTCATGTAATGATTTTTTTTTTATTGAACTGCTCTACTAGGAGTGGGTCAGCCTAATACAGCAAAAGCCAGTCCCCATAACTGATAAAGATTACAGCAGTTTTCTAGGAAATTGTTAACAAATGGCCTCATTGCATCTAAAACAATGTATCTCACATGTATTCCTTGTTCTCATAAGAACAGGCATCTTGTGTTGCCTACCAAGTCTAGGGATAAACTATATTCATCTAAGAAAAACTTCACATTTATTCTTAGTTCACTGATTTAAGAACATGACACTACATACTGGAAATCTGTCTTTTCTTTAAAAAAAGAAAATCACCCAGGATTACTGTGAAACATACTGTATAGAAAACTATTTTCTCACTTCCTAATGAGTCTTATCACTTAAAAGTCAGGTCATGAGTTTTAGACTTAAGTGCCTGCCTTCAGAGAGCTAAATAAAAGTTTCTTGCTTTTCGGGGATGCTCACAACAATAAATACCTCCACTGATTTAATTAAGCGTTATGATACTTAGCGACTCAGAAGAATTCAGGTCTACCTTAATTTGGGTGTATAATATGGCTCTAGGCATTCACAGAATAAAAAATTAATGTTAGCTTTAAAAACTGTGTAAAAAAGAGTGAGAGTAACCGTTTTGGCCAATCTCCCTCATCCCCATTTCCAGTGAGCATTTAACATGGTCTGAAAGTTAACCACTATTAGGAAGAAGGAGGCCTAGGGGAGCACTACTGCGCTGGCAAGGTGATAAACTGCCGGCAGTATAATCAGACTGTTACAGCACAAAATTGAGAACGTGGAAATACAAGTTCTAATCTTGACTTGATGTGTGGCTTCAGCAAAGTAATTTCAGTCCCTCCTTTCAGTTTACTAGCTAATAAACAGAAAACAGTAAGTTATTTTGAGGATGCTGTGATATCTAATTAATTTTAGTCAAGTAAGCATTTTGAAAACTGACCATACTAAGCACAATTTTCTACTATTTTCTACTACTACTAGCAAAAGTAAAAGACAAATCAATTAGGTGTGAGGTGTCTCTCTCCAAGCTTTCAAATATATTCAGGCTCTTGCTATATCCAGTTTCAGATGGAACTCACCAACTTGACACCTTTGTGAATTTAAGTACCTACTTCAAAATGAAATGAAAGCTCCCCCATACCTTCCTCATAGTGTTGTGACACATTAAAAACTGAAAGATTTTCTAGCAGAGGAATCTATGACTCTACACTTACCAGTCTTTTTCTCTGTTTTTGAATATTCAAAAGACTGGCTTTCAAAAGCCAGTCAAACTTTTTTAGCTCTATAGAACAGTAAAACATGTCTGTTACCTGTAACATGTGAAAGTATTGGACAGTGTAGTAGTTTGGACCTTGTTTTCCCGCAGAGGCTAACAAAATGGTAAAACCCCAAGGGGTGGAAACTCCTGGAAGTTTTGAAGTTTTGTCCATTGGGCGCTCCTGCAAAATATAAACATACCACAACCAGACCGGAAGAGACGAGTGGTAGTTTAGTTGTTGTGGGAGAGGTGGCCATGTTGTAGAGCCACGAGGAAGGGGGTTCAGAGCCCCTTGGGGCCTCTGGGGCCCCCCAGCCCCAGTTGGGGGCTACAGAGACGTGGAACAGTGTTAAGCTGGACTAAGTGTCTGTAACTGAACCTGGAGATGTTTATTCATTGTGAGCGGCAGCAGCAGAACTGCACTGACCGGAGAAACGGTGGCACAGAGCCAGAGGAGATAAGATGAAGCAGCAGAGGCATCACAGCACCGCAGAAAGAACTCCTGGAAGGAGAGCTGGGAAAGAGAGAGCCAGCAGCTGAGAGACAGAGTTTTTTTGGGGTAAGAACTGTACCAGACCCACCAAACTCCTTTGAGACCTCCTGGAAAGGAGGAAGATGATAGACTCTTACTTGAAAGAGCCTTGAAGTGCAACGTGCACTGCAGAGAGGAGCTGAGAAGCTCAGAGCGTCCTGGGAAGCTGGACCAGGACGGAGAGGAATGCAGGGAGGTTGACCTTGGAGCCCTCCCTTGCTGCAAGCTACAAAGAAGCTCGCGGCCTGAGGCAGGGCACAGAGGCCCTGCAAGGAGCTTGAATCTCCTGGAGATACCAGACCGTCACGAAGACCCCCTGCGTCTCGTGATATGACCGTGGTGGAACGACCTTTGTCTGGGGTGACGTAGTCCACGGAGGAAGACAAGACCCCTCGCTTGGTGGCGACGGGGCCGAGGGAGCTTGGATACCTCCCTCGTGAGTGCTGGCAGAAATCCAGCTATCAGCTGCTGCATGTGGAGAGGACAGATGACTGCTGCTGTAGAAGATACTTCTGCTTAGAGACTGGAAGGGATCTGTCCTTCTTTCCCTCCTGGACTTTTATTTGGAGGGGAGAAGAGATCTGATCCATTGTAAATACTGTATGTCATGGTAGAGATAGTTGTGATCGTGTGTATAATGTGTTATAATATTTATTTGTACAGTCATTGTAATATATTCCCTTTCCCCATTTGGAGTCTGGTGTGTTTTGTCTGGAAAAAAACCCATCTCAAATTAGGTTGAGATGTGGGAGGGGGTTTAGACTAGGGGATTGGATTTTGGGGCTATCTCAAACCATGACATACAGTTACCATTGTGATTGTAAAATAAATGTTTGAATTACATACCTGGGCTTTAGAATCAGTGCTGAGAAAAAGGACAACTTACTTTCAGCATCTCTGTTTGAAGGTTTGCATTCTGGAGACTATCAGGACACCACAAAGGTCACCAGGTCATCAGCTTCATTGAATTAAACCTGAGGTTCCATAAGATGAACAAGAAATCCATTCAAACTGTGGATTTTCTGAATCTGTAGAATACAAATTTTAAGTATTTTCTGTTTGAGATTAATCTTAACAGTTTTTTCCCAAGAATTCTGTATTCATTGTCATATCCTCATGATTACCTCTTTTTACCTAATCTGCCCATTAAACAATGTATCCTGCCCAAGGTCTCAAGACCTTGTGCTTCCAAAACCACATAGTGAAGTGGTTTTTCTTTTGTGACTAAATTTCAGTGAAATAATTTTAGTTTTAGGGATCATTATAATGATATAATACTCTTCAACCAATTTATGGACTTGAAATATGGGAAATAAATTCTCAGTCTTATATGAAAGGCATAGGCTGGTACAAATGATCACCATATTCTTGGGGGTGGAGGTTCTGAATATAGGAATGTGTTCTGTGGCTAACTCAAACCTATGGTTGTTGCTACACTCATGGCTTACCTCCAACAGTATTCACTCAGTATTAGAAAGTTAAAGCCTATTTTAAGCATGACATTTGAGAAGCCAGTGATGTTAAACTAGATATCCAGGTAGCAGAAGGAGCATTAAAGTCTTTCAGAAGATGCAGATTTTAACCTGTGTCACAGACAAAAACAGACAGATTTTGTTTTGAGAGAACTTCAGGAAAGAATTTAATTAAATTAAGCATTTGCTTAAACTTGGACCAACTGTTTAAATGATGGCATAGGTAATTGATATCATCTATAATAATCTCCTAGTTTGATTTCAAGATGGACTTTAAATAGCAACGTCAAAATACTGGAAGAGGTCAGTTTCTGTTGATATATCAGCTCTATCAAAACAAAAAAGTAGAGTTCACGTGAAAATGTTTACTTGCGTGCCAGCCTTTCTATTTGACATTAGAGATGTGGATCATTCAGGTGCACATAGAGATTTACAGTTATTTACCTTTATCCAAGTCTTTTGATTGCCACTATATTTTCAATAATACTTTCTGACTGTGCATTTTTACTACATTTCAGTTTTTAAAAATTTCTGAACCATTGCGATACTTTGCATTTTAGCAATGTTGATCTCAGACTACAGGGTTTTGAATACCTTCTCCTCTCATGGTCTGGTCTTCAAAAGAGGCAAGAATGAAACACTACAAAAAGAGGTATTGTGCTGACAGAAATTAATGGAAGCACAGCCAGTTGTCTTTCTCAGCAAGTGTATGCACCACAAACACTCTGTCCTACCAAGTTGCATAATGTAGAGATGAAAAGGTCCATTCACTCTGACCTCTTCTGTTTTCTTCATTAGAACATACAAGTGAAAAGAACCTCCATGTTTAAGTAAGCCCGGGGAGCATTATTATGGGTCACTGTATCACAAAATTGTCCTAATAAACTAAACAGTCTCCTCAGAACACTCCAGCTACTTTTTATGAAAGGATATTTTAGGACCTTTCTGCTATCATAATTGGAAATGTTTCACCCACCTCTAGCCTGCACTTACCAATGACCAGTTCAGATCCACATAAGATTCTTCAAGCCCTAGTATGACCTCTTTCACATCCTCTACTCAAATGTACAACCTTAAATTTAATATGCAACACTATTTCAGTTTCATCTTCAAATGAATGTTCTTTATTCTACTTCTGAATACAAAAAATTTGAATAGTTTCAAAACAAAAACTCACAAGTACTGCAATGGTATGTTCCAGCACACCATGCCTCCTACTCTTCCTTCTCACTTAAGTTTCAGGCATCAGATTCTCTTACCCTTCCCCTTGAGGCACCAAACACATGTTTAACTTGTGATATTTTTTTACATGCACGCTGTGATCAAGTGACCTTTCAACAAACCAGCCCCCAACCTTATTACACATGGGGTCTTTTGCAGGTCTTTGGGTCACTGCTTCATGGGTATCTTTTTGCATATATTCCAGCTTTTTTAAATTCTTCAAATAATACAGACTCTCAAAATATAAAAATATTTTGGAATCGATACATTGAATGTTGTAGGTAGAATATAATTCACATCCATACACTCCTCTACCCTGTTCATTGTCATGGTTTAACCCCACCCATCAGCTCAGTCCCACACAGCCACTCACTCACTCTCCCACAGTGTCTTGGGGAAGAGAATTGGAAGGGTAAAAGTGAGAAAACTTGTGGCTTGAGATAAAGGCAGTTTAATCAGTAAGGCAAAAGCCATTATGCCAGCAAAGCAAAACAAGGAGTTCATTCACCACTTCCCATGGGCAGGTAAGTGTTCAGCACCTCCAGGAAAGCAGGGCTCCAGCACACATAATGGCAACTTGGAAAGACAAATGTCACCATTCCAAATACCCCCTCTTCCTTCTCCTGCCACCCAGCTTTATATGCTGAGCATGACACCATATGGTATGGGATATCAGCTGTGGTTAGCAGGGCTCACTAAAAGAGTTTTAAACTAGAATTGAAGGGTTAAAGGGATAAAAATCAAGCTTGCTAGAGAAAAGCCTGAAGGCAACATGTCAATGTTTGAGGAACCATGTGCTAGCATGGTCCTTCAGTCTCAGTGAAGGTAGGGATGGAGATCCATGTGGGAGCAAAGACAGAAGAGTTATTGATTCTTGAGAACACAGAAGTGCCTGAGAACAGTCATGTAGGAATTACCATTTCTCCTGCCAAAAAAGTGGCGAGATCAATAGCCCAACTGAAGTGCATCTACAGCAATGCCTTCAGTGGACAACAAGCAGGAGGAGCTGAAAGCTGCTGAGCAGCAAGAAAACTATGACATAGTTACCATCACAGAAACATAGTGAGATAACTCACATGTCTGGAATGCTGCTATAAATGGTGGCTATGAACTCCTCAGAAGGGGTAGGCAAGGAAAGAGATGCGGTGGTGTAGCCCTGTATGTTAGGGAGTGGTTTCACTATCTGAGCTTAATGATGCTGATGAAAGTGTTGAGTGTTTATAGGTAAAAATCAGAGAAAGGCCAACAAGGCAGATATCATGGTGGGAGTCTGTTACAGACCACTCGACCAGGATGAAGAGACAGATTAAATACTCTATAGGCATCTGGGAGAAGTCTCATGATTGCTAACCCTTGCTCTCCTGGAGGACTTCAACTTCTGAAAGCACAACACAGCAGAAAAGCACCTGGGGGTGCTGGTCAACAACCAGTGTGTCCAGAGAAGGGCAACAAAGCTGGTGAAGGGTCTGAAGCACAAATCCTATGAGCAGTTGCTGCGGAAGGTGAGAGTGTTTAGTCTGGAGAAAAGGAGGCTCAGAGGAGATTTTATCACTCTACAACTACCTGAAAGGATGTTGTTATGAGGTGGGGGTCTCTCTCTTCTTCCAATTAACAAGCAAAAGGACAAGAGGAAATGGCCCCAAGTTGTGCCAGGGGAGCTTTAGGTTAGATATTAGGAAAAGTTTCTTCACAGGAAGGGTTGTCAAGCTTTGGAACAGGTTGCCCAGGGAAGTGATGGAGTCGCCATCCCTGGAGGTATTTAAAAGATATGTAGACATGGCACTTAGGGACATGGTTTTGTCATGGACTTGGAGTGCTGGATTAAGTGTTGAACTCGATGATCTTAAAGGTTTTTCCAAAATAAATGAGTCTATGACTACATGATTCTATAAAATCTTATTTCTATAAAACATTTCTATAAAATGTTAATATCAGTTTCCATATGGAATCCAGGCATCTTATTAAGAAGACCATTTTTATACACTGGTCTCCAAAATATAACTTTAAAGATGTAAAATTTACATTAATTCTCCCATATCATATTATTTGTGGTCTCACTGTATTGATCTTTGTTCCAGAACTTTCACCCAAGTAAAGAATAGGATCGTTTAGAGCTGAAGCTCTGTCCCCTGCTGCTTCACAACAATTTTAGAGTCTGTATGCCACCCTCTTTACATATGTTTTTCAGGTGTCTGCTAATCGACCTTTAGCTCTGAAGCAACATGACAGCAAATGAGAAGTCACTGGAAGGTTCTTGTTTTGGGTAAAGTCTTTGCCCCAGTGACTTTACAGCAGAGCCAAGATTTAGAATTTTATTGCATTTTTGTGAAACAGGTTTTGCAGTCAAATCCCACCCCTTTCTCCTCCCCCTCCCTTTCCCCTTCCCCTTCAAATGAAAGGTTTAGGTATTAAGCCTGAAGTTGCAGCCCAGCCCCCACCTATCAGCTGTCACAGTGTATTTAGATGTGTGGCACACTTCTTTTATGGTCAGATATGTAGATCTGTTTTCTGCCTCCCACCTCCCTTCCAAAGTGCACTGTTCTGGTAATTGATGGTGTCACACACTTTAGCTCAGTGGTCCCAGCATACCAAGTTATCAAGAACAGTTTTCATCACTATCTTATTATCAATAATTAGGGCTCCATCAGATCAAGCTCATGAAGAGTATTCCCACATTGGACTGCTCAGTCAACCTGGAGTCAAAGCTTGTCTTCTTCTATGGCAATTAAATCCTGGCGGGGGCTAAAATCACCAGCTACAGAATGATAATGTGAATGAGTAGGTACACCTGTCCTATTGAAGATGGTAGGAAGACTTCAGGGTCCATGGAGCAAAAAGAAATAATTAACTCAAGGGCGTGAAGATGTTGCCTTGTTTTTATAGGATATAGAAAGTGAGTAAATTATAAAACTCAGTCCCATAGGGGTTTTGCTGTCAAACAGATTAATGCCATCAGAACTTTTCCTGAAGTGCAACACTTTCCAGTTAATTGCAAAAAATAAGAGTCATTGAATGAATCAGATGGAGTGGAAGCCCTGAAGGTTCCCTGGGTCCACCCTATATTCAGAGAAGGGATGACTTCAGATGCAGATTGCTCCCCCAGTTTGGCATCACCCCTCACCTTGCTTGAGCTGCTGTCTGTCTGATCTTTCCCCTCAGTAATGAAAACATTTTACAATCTCAGCCCCAGTACCAAGCCCCAAGTAGAAGCAATGGGGGAGGAAGCAGAAGTTTGTCTTTCCCATTGAGCGTCTTCAGTAAAGGACTCATCAGGACTACAGGCGACCTCCATTCAAAGCCTTTCTCCAAGTGACAGGTGCTAAGCATGTAGTGTGAGATTCCTCTTCTTCAAGATACATAAAAAGAACCTAGAAGGTTAGAGCACTTATGGTGAATTATTGAACTAGACCAAAACTGAAACCTGAAAGCTTTTTCTAACTTGTAGCTACACTACAGAAAATAGCATAATGAAAGTAATTTGAGGCATACAAAATCTTGAGCATATAAAAGCCTTCTATACAATTTCCAAGCTTAATACAAATGTAAATGGCATAATTTTTTCTCATAAAATTAATTCTAATGGGCAACACAATTTTCCTAATACTGATTCTATTAGTATTAATATTTCTGTAATACTTTCAGATTGATGTCTAGAAACAAAAATTATTATTGTGACCTTAAAATCCAATTTTCAGAAAAGCCTATTCCTCTAAAATCAGAAGTATTATATCTGCAAAATAAACAGAAATAATCATCTTGATTTCCTGAGTAGTTCCATTGAAATCAATCTCTATGACTATATGCATGCTTAAGAAAAGAAACACCCTAGTGCTCTGCTGAAGAGAAGCTAAATTACCAATAAGCACAGTTCAGATGCTCAATGTACTAAT